GCCTAAATAGCCTGATTTATCTGTTCTGTTAATGAGTTGACGGAGAAGTGTTACTGGACAGAATTCGGAGTCTACCGCATACATTCGTTTGTCGGACGGGGCTTCACAATTTGATAAACCCCCCTGGAAGTTTTTTTGCCGTGTCTCGTGATTAATAGTCACGTATTCTGTGCCATTTTCATCGCTGCAGAAATCGAACGAATTTAGGTGCAACTGTTGATGAAATTCCAAACCGCGACTGACGAAATGAATCGCGAGATTGTACCACACAGCTAAATGGAGAACAACAGCTGATGAGTGCCACATAGATTTCAGGTAGGTGCAAATTTTGCTAAGATCCTCTTTTGTGATGATATCTTTGTGTAAGGTCGGACGTGAAAGGCCAGACCTCATACGTTCTTTTAATAAACCGTTTAAGGTTTTGTTGCATGATTTAAATTGCTTATCCCTAACAATATCCATGTCTCTGCCTAGGTCCTGTAAATGACGGTTCAATGCAGCCCTAATATTTTTGAGAGTGTTCTTGTGATATTCCCCGGCATGTTCAGGTTTTAACATGCTTGCCCTCGCCTCAGTTTGCTTTGGTCTTGCTTTGCAGTAAAATTTCGCTAAAACTGTTGCTAGGTTTTCCACATTCACATCAGTAAAATCCAAGGGTATACTTCATGGTGCCAGTCTGAAAAGAGAAAAAAAAATATGTTATAATCCACGATTTTGTGAGCTGCTCTGATCGATCATGATATGATAACGGATTTTAAACCAGCAACAAGAAGATGAAAGCTTTGTGTAATGATGAAATAATTGTTTATTTGCTGCATTTAAAATGCGATAATCAATTAATTTTATCAAGTGTGTTTACACTGTTTACACGGAGTCACTTGCAGCGTGAGATATTTGTTATGATTTGTACAGACGGTAGCCTAATTGGTCAGCGACGGCTTTGATTGGTGGCTGTAAACCCATTCATAAAAATGTCAACGTAATGAGTGTGTGTACAAGTGTTTGTATGTGTGTAAATGGAGGAATGTTTACCTTGAAACAGCTTTAGGGCCCATGATGTGTTTTTTTTGGTTGACTCGCTATGGTTGGCGTCTTGGTATATTTTTTGCTGGTTAGCATCAACTGTTTTAAATCTCTTTTTAGTATCTGTATCGGGCTCCTCTTGCACATGAACTGTCTCATCTTTGACTTCAGGGAAAGTAGTAGTAGTAGCCCCGATATTATCTGCTAATTGCAATATTTTTTCCAAATTGTTTGCCGTCATGGAAGTAATCACTTCCAATACCGGAGTTTCCGGAGGGGGGATATCCATGTCGGATTGTGTTATTTGTCTTTCCATGTGTTGAATGTCGCTCAGAGTCACTTCGGAGGCCGCTATCAGGTCAGTTATTGACGAATCACTCCAATTATCTTCTTCTTGGTCAGTATTAGGTGTTGCTNTCGCACATGGATCGAAAGATCTATTTTTTATTCACTAGGTGGTATCAATAACATGTTTCAAAGATCATTACGAAAAGTTTTTTCCAACGTTTTCTATACCAACCCATGTTTTTTATGGAAATTAGGTCATGAGAAATGTCACATGACTTGACGAGATCTCGCGTTACCGAAGGTATTTCCCAACGTTATGACGTAGGCCGGTGAGATTTTAGTCACGTGGCATTGGAAGGCGGAGCTATCAAAAAACTAGAGTAAAACAGAGTAAGTTTAAAAAAATATGTTTTTAGTGATTGTATTAGTTGTTTAAGGCATGTTATGTATGTTCATCTTGTGCATAAAGAATACATTGTACATGGCGTATAACAATACATTGTACATGGCGTATAACAATACATTGTACATGGTGGATAACAATACATTGTACATGGCGGATAACAATACATTGTACATGGTGTTCAGTTTCTCTAGTCTTTCTAAGAATTTATTGATATTTGAAAGTACTTGTGCATTGCAAATAGCTAATAACCCTCGCATTTTCAAAGGCTTAGGAAATTATACGATGGTTTAGTAAATATCAAATAAATATCTGTAAAGATAGACCAACCATTTCACAATATTGAGGAAAATTGTGATACAGTTTATACACGCGGGTGATATGTCGAAATAACGATGTGAAAGAAGAAAAGGTTCTAATTTCCTACTGAAAACACAGGGTGTTGTCCGCCTTGACATTTCGGCATCCTGTTCATAATGCTGGCGGTGATGTGAATCGACTAAGACTGTACTTCACGTGAACCAGGTACGAGCTGATGGAAGGAAGACGTGGAATGATCTCGGATCCTTTATTCTCGAGTGTCCATAAACCAAGTTACATAAGCGCAGTATTACACTGATCATGGCTTGCATATAGCCACTATATATTTGCTAAACAAAGCAAACTAAAGTGCCACCTCTTTAAATCTGCACAAATAATAAAAAAAACACTACCGCCATATATCTGCCTAACTAAACCAGAAGTATCGCCAAGCAAAACAAACAATTCGCACATCTATAAACTGCACAAAAATAAACAAAAAAATACTACCGCACTCTATTATCTTCCAACAAAACCCAGAAGATACCATCGCCATATATCTACCAAACAAAACATAAGTACATTTTATCTTCTTCTCAAGTTCCATAAGGCCCAGGGTCATAATATTTGGCCAGTAGGTACCGGGGATGAAGTGCTATAAATTTTCCCCATTTAAATGACCTTGACCTACTTTCAAGGTCACGTGGGTAAAATATGTTAAAAACTTCAAACAACAATATCTTAAGAACCATTTTGTCTAAAGTCATGATACTTGGGTATGTTATGTAGACCAGCTGTGTGAATTGTTTTCTTTATAACAGTAAATTACTGAGGTCAAATGTCAACTTCAAGTGCAAGCCGGAGTCAAAGATCAACGTGGGTTAAAAGTTTTAATATTCAAATTTTAAATTTCAAACAATAATATCTTAAGAACCGTTTAAGAGATACATGTCTTGTGTTCTAGTTACCAAATTTGGTCTGAAGTTACCTATATGTCAGTTTCATGTAACAAAAGAAACAGGTGAGCGCTACAGGTTATCTGGGCCTCTTGTTTTAATTCGCAATAGGTACATTGGAGTGAATGTCGCGCAAAATCCCGGATAGCGCGATGTTCTGCACATTTAACAATGATTGTATTGTACTTCACTTTGCAAGCTTATTGCAATAAGCAAACGGATCCTTTTCATATCTGATGGACATAAAATAGCACATGGCCTTTGGCATTGATATAAAGCATTGTCCATTCCATGGCTGCAATTGTGTTAAAAACATCAATGACCAATTACAACAGAATCGACAATTGTGATTGAAACAACACATAGGTTGTCTCATCATAAAAAAATGTTGCTTTTAATGCACACATCTCAGTCTTTATTATTAACTTAAAAAGAACCAGTGCTCCACTTATTTCTTAAATTCATATAATTAAGGGGTGTAATACACATCGTTTTCTTATTTTCTACGTACTATATTTTCATATTTTAAAGCTATGTCTTTATTTTAACATGTTCAAGTCAAACATTGATTGTACACTTTACAATTTTAATTTTAATGATCAAGGACGTTCATTCAATTCAAAGAGTTTTAATCATAATTTAACTTACAAAATCCTGTTTATACTTATACATGCATGCATTCACTTTATACTTTATTAAAAGACGTGAAAAAAATGTTCGTCCCGTGGATACTGTAGAAGTTGAACTTTTCGCGAGTGAAAATGTTACCGATATGACTCATTAAACTGACCACGGTGTAGATATTTTCGCGAGTGGAAATGTTACCAAAATATGACTCATAAAACTGACCACGGTGTGGAAATTTTCGCGAGTGGATATGTTACCGATATGACTCATTAAACTGACCGCGGTGTGGACATATTCGCGAGTGGAAATGTTACCGATATGACTCATAAAACTGACCGCGGTGTGGAAATTTTCTCGAGTGGAAATGTTACCGATATGACTCATTAAACTGACCGCGGTGTGGACATCTTCGCGAGTGGAAATGTTACCGATATGACTCGTAAAACTGACCGCGGTGTGGAAATTTTCGCGAGTGGAGATGTTACCGATATGACTCATTAAACTGACCGCGGTGTGGACATTTTCGCGAGTGGAAATGTTACCGATATGACTCGTTAAACTGTGGACATCTTCGCGAGTGGAAATTGAGTCATATCGGTAACATTTCCATTCGCGAAAATTTCCACACCACGAAAACGCGAGCATTCCCATATTGCAAAAAAAATACTGCTACAGTATTTTGTTTTTTGAATGTGGCTTGCTATGGTTAATTCAGAATATCTATCAGGCACAAAAAGTACAGATTCCTACATACGCTAGATTGTAACTATGGAGTATTGTAACATGTGTAGCTACCTGGTGCTGCACAACATGTATCAAATTTCGAGACATATACCTAGCCTTGTTTCACAAACGTCTAAACCAATACAACTATAAAGTGTTATACAGGTTTTTCAATTTAAGCATTGAATTGCTTATATTTGATATTCATACCTCCCTTTTTAAAACGATCTTAAAAAGAATTGTCTATGATTGCTGCCCAACTTACAACTACTCAAGTACTTTTTCGTAGCGAACTTAAACTTTGTATCTTCTATTGTCAAAAACCTATCCCTTACAAAGTCCTACACATGGCCATCCAATTGGTTTTAATAATATTTGTTCATGTCTTGAAACTGTAAAATGAATCATTTACAGTTTCAATACATGAACAAACATTATTAATATGATTTATCATTATTAATTAAAATATAAAATGGGATCTCCTTGAGATATTGATGATAAGTGACTAAGAGTGTGATGACCTCTATTTAGGTTTACACTGTGGATAAAACACAGTTAGGAGGATACAATGTATTCGGATTTCGGGATTTATCATGTCAAGATCGACTGAGGAAACTCAAAATATCCACTCTGAGCTACAGAAGAATAAGAGGGGACATGATTGAGGTGTTTAAAATTACAAGCAATGTTTACGATAATTGTGCAACGGATTTTTTTAACACGTGAAAAGGTAAATCACAAAGACAGGGAACAAGAGGACATCCAATGAAAGGATTTCCGCAATAACGCAATATTCTAGAGTAGATATCCTAAAGACTTTTTTGCCTTGCGAATTGTAAGAATATTGAACAATCTTCCGGAAATGTGGTATTAGCACCGACTGTGAAACTCTTTTCAAAATAGTCTGGATAAGTATTTGGGAGAACCAGGAACTCCTATATAATCATAGATCTGAGATACGTTAATGATCCAAGTAACGTCACATGCATCTATTGTTAAATATTTCAATCTTGTGATTCAGAGTCCAGTGAAGCTGATCTTTATAGATCCTGTATCGGTACATAAACTTAGCTTAACTTGTAAACAAATATGTACCATCCTTAACATCGGAATGCGTAATACATTTTCGTATGCTTGTTGGTAGCATAAATCATTGGGCTATAACATACAACAAGGCGAAACAGTAATGGGAAAATAATCGTCGTTGTATAACTGCTAATTTTGGAGGATAACTTGAAAAACTAACGTTTTTATACACGGTTGTAAACCTCCAATTTTGTAATACTTATTTAGTTTACTTAACTGCTGTAACTGATTTTTAAAAAATTTGAGGACGAAACATTATCTAGATTAGATCTAGATTTACAAAACGGGTTTACCGATGAAGCAGAAGAGGTTTTCCCTTCCGGAACACCTGGTCTTATTTCAGTTGTTTAATTTGAAATCCATTGTTCCTCATTAAAACACTACATAGCTAACAGGTTTTACAATTTTGTACTGTCTAAAATGAGTGACACGATAATAAAATTACTTTTAAGAAGAAGAGGAAGAAGAAGAAGAAGAATGAGAGAAGAGGAAGAAGTAGTAGTAGAAGAAGAAGATTAATTTAAAGTGTCTTATAGAAAAAAAAGTGATTAGAACTCGTCTGAGATACTGAACGAGGAGATGATACACACACGTAATTGCACCTTTAACTCATTCATCCCTGCAGTTTCATGATGGACTATTTTAACCTTTGAATTGGAAGAGTTCAAATGTGTCCCCAGGGGTGAATGAGTACATGTATATAAAACAATGAATTACACTGCGCTATACAGCTGTTTCGTCCTTCTAGGACTCATCGGCGATGCTATGGACCAAAACAATGGAAATCCAAATAGATCCAAAATACGACTGAAACCCCTTAATATCATAAATTTAAGAAAACTATGAGTTCAGGTAATTTCAAATTACATGAGTACATGCATATGTATATAAGACCACCGCGCCTTAATATATACCGAGCTGGCTACGTGGTCTTCCTCACGTCAGGTTACACATAGAAATGCAAAATTATTCATTGAACCGGAAAAACCTATGACAGAAAGTAAACAGGATGTCTTGTATCAGTG